GGAACTGGAAGAAACCATCCTGAGTGAGGTAACCCAGTCACAGAAAGACAAGCATGGTATGTACTCTCTCATATATGGATATTAGACATTGAGCAAAGGACTACCAGCCTACAATCTACACCAGAGAAACTATGAAACAAGGAGGACCCTAAGAGAGACATACATGGCCCCCTGAAGAAGGGGAAAAGGACAAGAACTCCTGAGCAAATTGGGAGCATGGGAGAGGGCAGGGAGGAAAAGAGAAGGGGAGAAGAGGAGGGGGAGGAGAACAAGAGGAATCAGGAAGACTGAGACAAGGGAGAAATAGAGGAGAGCAAGAAGAGAGATATCTTAATAGAGGGAGCCAGTATAGATTTAAAGAGAAATCTGGCAAGAGGGAAATGTTCAAAGATCCACAAAGATAACCCCAACTAAGAATCTAGGCAGTACTGGAGAGGCTGCCTTTGATGCCCTTCTCCTCTAATGAGATTGATGACTACCTTAATTGCCATCCTAGAGCCTTCATCCAGTAGCTGATGGAAGCAGAAGCAGGCACCCACTGCTAAGCACTAAGCCATACTCCTGGAATCCAGTTGTAATCAGGAAGGAGGGATAAGCAAAGGAGTCAAGACCATGCTGGAAAAACCTACAGAACCAACTGACCTGACCTAGTGATAGCACATGGACCCCAGTCATAAAGCTGGGGAACCAGCACTGGACTGAACCAAACCCTCTGAATGTGGGTGCCAACTAGGAGACCTGGGCAGGCTATGGGACCTCTGACAGTGGAACCAATATTTATCCCTAGTACAAATAGACTTTGGGAGCCCATTCCCTATGGAGGGAAACTATTTAAGCCCAGATACAGGGAGGAGGGCCTAGGCCCTCCTCCAAATGATGTGACAGGCTTTGATGATTCCCCCATGGAAGGCCTCGCCATCCTTGGGGAGCAGGTAGGGGTGGGTTGGGGGTTTGTTAGGGAGCATAGGAGGATGGGAGGGAGAGGGAACAGGGAGGACTGATATGTAAAATGATTGTTTTTACAAAAAAAAGAAAAAAAGGAAAGAAAAGGTGTGAGAGAAAGAAAGAAAAAGAAAGAAAGAAAGAAAGAAAGAAAGAAAGAAAGTTATGAACTAATGAAATTAATTTACTAACTCGATTTCAAAGCTGTTCTGTCTGCCCAGTAAGAACAGCAGTGGTCCATTATTCTAAACACTAGATGAAAAAAGTGGTATTTGTTTACTGGCTCTTCCAGACAATGGTTAAATTGATCTTTTGCTTTTGTTTTGTTTTGTTTTTCGAAACAGGCTTTCTCTGTGTAACTCTGGCTGTCCTGAAATGCACTTTGTAGACCAGGCTGGCCTCAAATTCTCAAGAGTTCCACCTGCCTTTGCCTTCTGATTGCTGGGATTAAAGGCAAACACCACCACTACTCCACCTATGTCATTTTCTTGCTTTTAACTCTCACCTCCATGTATCATAGAAAGGCTTTAAGAAAATTCCACAATTTTACTACTGCATTTTTTAATAACCCATTAGAAAAACAACTCCTTCATGGAGATGTAAAGACTCCCTTAATCATTTCCACTTTACCTTTAAAAAGGCAATTCCTTTTCATGCCCACCTCTGGACTACCCAGCTTGCCATGACCATAGCCATCACTGCTGTGTCTGTTTTTGAGGAAGGCTGGTTAGCCATGGTCCACCTTTGGCTGGCCCAGACATAATCCCTTTCCTTCTGCCTAGCTGCTACCTAAGACATGACACAGTGTCTAAGAACTCATACTTTGTGTAATCCAAGATCTGTCTTTCATTCCTTGACCTTTCTGTAGCCTCTACCTTTGGTAGCCAGCACTCACAAGCTGAAACCACATTTTTATGAAACATGCGCAGCACTCCCATTGATCATTTCTAATCTTACACTTATGAAGTCAGAAAAAAAGGAAGATATGACATACAGGACAGGGCTAGGAAGTCAAGCTATAACAGGAAAGATGTGACATGCTAAGGAATTCTATTTTTTATTCAAAAATTAGTGAGGAAGACACTGAAAACTATTTAAATCAGCTGTAGGATCATTCTGGAAAGTGTCACGAACAATGGATTGATAGTCAGTACAAGTTCAACTGAGACATTACAGAATTTGTAAGTTAATGAGAGTCTCTAGCAAGTTGAAGTAACTGTTCTAAAGCACTTGCACTCTTCATGGACATTCCAGGAACTCAATGCTTCACCACAGCCCATCACACAGACTGCCTTTCAACAACACAACCCTAGCCTTCTACATCATTTCTCATTACTCTATAAAAAGGCTACCATCCATTGTCAAGCTGGTAAATGTCTCAAATGCCAAAAGTCTACAGTCTACATCTTTCTTCAGTCTATATTCTCCATTTGAAAAGCTTTCTCTATTTTGGCTTCAGAATATCTACATTCTTCCTATCCTGTAAATGCCTTATAAAATGATACCTCCCACTGATCAGGATGACTTGCTGTAGTTTCTGATCTTGAAATCCTAAAGCCCTTGAAGACAGGATCTATAGTGTAACAAACTATTGTGTTTTTTAAACATTGAGTGACCAAAAAAAATGTATGATAATATTTTTAAATAGTTTGTACAACTACTAACTGGTGCTCTGTTTTCCAACATAAATTAACAAATGTGATCACCTTTATTGGTACAAAAATATCAAGTAATCCAAATCATAATAACAAAACATAGTTCAAAACATTTTTAAAGTAAATTGACTATTACTTGTGTTCAGTATAAATTGTGGAACAAACATTAATGAGCAAGCATACAACAGTTCCAGGATATTTATAAAGATAGCAACAAAAGCAAATGCAAAGCAGGAATCAATGCAATGACTACATTAATAGAAAAATTACAAGGTGTGGACTGTCATCTTGGCAAAAGCAAAGATATAAAAAGGTACCACTCAAAAGTCTCAGAAACACAAATGAAGCTGTTTTTCTACTTGATTTGAATCACTTAAGAGCAAATGATTACAAGCTATTACATCTTTTTAAAAACAAACTAAAAGAGAACATTATGCAGGCAACCCTACCTTTCTTTTTGCTTGTGTAATGCCCTAAAGTCAAGAGAAACAAACCATTGATAAGGTGTATTCAGTAAAGGTCTGTTCTTTCCAATTACAACTTGAAACAAGTGTTTATAACACAATGGAAAAGCCAGGAGTATTGTGGATACTGGAAACATGATTGCTTAAAATATTTTTAGAACCTACAAAGAAAACTTCATTGTAAAACTTATAATAAGCCTATAATTTAACTCTTACATGATCTGACAATTGCAAAATGGTTCTGCTAGATAAAACATTACATCATAAAGCAAAGCTGCTGGTGGCCCTTGAGATCCGAATATGTAATGTCCCAAAGGCTCTTGCTGAAGGCCTGATCTCCAGTTGGTGGCACTACTTTGGAAGGTCCTGGAAACTCTGCTTAGTCCAGTCTTGCTGAAGGAAACAGGTCACTTGGGACATGCCACTGAGAGGCTCCGTCTCATCCCCAGACCCTTGCTGCCTGTCATGACATACGGACTTTGTTCTGTTGCACATTCCTACCACAGGCCCACAGCATTGGAGTCAGCTGACCACAGACTGGACCTCTGAACTCTTTATACTCTTACACTGCTTCTCTCAGATACTTTTTACAGTAATGAAAAAAACCTGACTGAGCATAGTAGTTCATAAAACTGTTAACTGAAAATTTATAAGCGTATCAAATAAAAAATAATTAGTAACTAATACACTGTGGGGAATAGTGGATAGGCCCCTTTAAACGAAGATAGCTTTACAGAAAAGAAGCAAGCACTGTTTACAGTGGTTAATCTTGCTTAATATTAAAGTCCATTTCCCTAGTAAAATGCTCTCCTGTGCTGGAAACTAAATCCAGTGCCTTACTGAATTCAAAGCTCCAGGAAGAGTCTTATTATTACACATCACAAATTCTCACAACATTTTTTCCACCAAGAATTAATTTTGACTATACTAGTTGACCAGGTATCATCACATATGATCAACACTTCCCAAAAGTAAATTTAGGGATAAATTGAAACAGGCAAAACAACAGTCATTAATATAACATCTTACCTGAGTAAGATAGCGTCTATAGTCTTGCCTCAATTCTTCTTTTAATTTATGTTTCTTCCGTTCATAGTCTTCTCCAAGTGGTAAACTTAATCCATAATCAATTCCTAAATAGAAAACAATTTAAGTAGCATATTCCTTTTCAAAGCAATTTCAGTGATGTTCCCCCTCCTGTAACAAAGCATGCAAGGACTGTAATCAGTTAGATTTCATGTTTTGAATGCGTTGGTGGGTGACACACAGATGCAGTGGTAATTATTTCCACTTATGAACCCTACATCCTATTCCCCTACCCAGAACACTGTTTCTTGTGTCTCCTTCAGAGTATTCTATGTACCTACATTAAAATAATTTTAGGTTACTGTATATGCAAGGATGTGTGTAAGTACCTTTCTCCCTGTTTAGACAAATCATCAAGCATCTTGTTTTTCTTCTCTTTTTGTGTTTATTGTTGTTGGTGTTTTAAGACCAATTTCCTCCAGTAAGGCTGGACTAACCAGAATTCCCAGCACCTCCCAAATATAATTTTTAAAATTTTAGGAGATTAAAATAACCACTTCTAAGTCTGGAGATGTGGCTCAGTTGTTGAGTATTTGCCTAGCATACAGAAAACCCTGGGTTGGGTCCTTAACACTGCATAAAATATAGTAATACACATCTGTAATCCTAGAACTTGAGAGGGAGAGGCAGGAAGACCAGAAGTTTCATAAAGTCACCATTGGCTTCAAAGACTTTGAGGCCAGCCTAAGGTACATCAGACCCTGTCTCAAATTAATTAATTTTTAATTACTTACATAATTTATATAATATATAATTATAAAATAAAAAATATTACTTCTAAAAGAAAAAGCTTATAACTAATCTAGGTACTACAGAAGAAATAGTAGATGAATTTATAAACTGTCATAAAAACATCCAATTTTGTATTCCTTACAATTCAAGGAATTATAGATATGTTCTATGTATTGTCATCTGCTTTTGTTTTAGACCACTGAACTCAAAGAGGAAAGGCCAAGATTACATATGTATAAATGCATCCTACTGTTTTATAAAACACTACATTTTATTTTACACTATAAACACTATGAAATTCTTTTGATAAACATATCTCGACTATTTAATTCCTTGGTGATAAAGATTTAGTAGGCAGGGACATCTCAAGCATTCCCTGTGTCTTGTCTTTGCATCATCCTGAAAGGAAACTCCTCGATCCCAGAGAAATGGTGTGTTTTTTAATACATAATTTAAGCTGATGGAGAGAAACAGTAAGAGGGTTTCTTGTTTTGTCATTTTTTTAAGATGTATGTGTGCATGCACACAAATGCACATACACATGCAAGTATACACATGCCGTACAGGTATGGCAGTTAGAGAGCAACTCTGAGGACTCAGTGTCTCTCCTGCTATACTGGAGATTCCTAAGTTTGCTGGCCTTACTTTAATATTTTTAATTAGCATACAAACTAGCAGGCTTCATTCACATATGCATTCTATCTCTCATTCAACAGGAGTATGTGTGTAGAACTAAAGGATTAGATCATCAAAAACAAAGCCCATGCTGTACTCAACATTATAACACCTGGCATACAACTTATACCCATGAAATGTTTACCCAACCAACATACAAATGGACTGGGCATGGTGGGACACACATATAATGACAGCACTCAGGAGATGGAGGCAGAAAGACCAATTCAACGTCATCCTCGTCTGCATAGAGTTTGAGGCCTATCTAGGAAACATGAGACCCTGTCTCAAAAAATAAAACAAATTTGAAAATGAACATATAAATGAATGGCTGGGCAAGAGGAAGAAATGAGAAGGGAGGGACGAGAATAATCATCCTCTCTCATTTCTGCTTTTTAGCAGTTTGATTGCACTGAGAGGAAGGACTAATAGTTCCTAATAATTAGAATTACATGTCTAGTGACATGAAGTCACAATAGACATTCTGTGGTGTCAAGGAGAAAATGACAATGCTAAAAAAGGTGATACCTTCCTATAGGCCCAACTTTCCCAGGCTGAAAGCAATTTGTAGCTTCTTGGACAAATTCTTACAGTGCCTTTACTACAATCTTGAATTCTATTTGTGGGCTTCTCTAGAACTGGAAAATGTGAAATTATGTTCATTTATAAATTACTGACCCTATTAAGTTCAACTTAATTAAGAGTATTTGGTCTTCACAAATTCAGGTCTTCCAAACCTGAAACAAACTGAAGACTGTATGGAGTTTTTTTGCTTTGGTTTGGTTTGGTTTTTGGTTTTTCGAGACAGGGTTTGTCTGTGGCTTTGGAGCTGTCCTGGAACTAACTCTTGTAGACCAGGATGGTCTCAAACTCACAAAGATCCGTCTACCTCTGCCTCTAGAGTGCTGGTACTAAAGGTGTGCGCCATCACCGCCCAGCTTGAAGACTGTAAGTTTAAGGCATTCCTGAACCAGACTGAGCCTGACTGAGCCCAGATGGGCACTTAGTGAGACCCTGTCTCCAAAGCGAAGAAGTGTAGGAGTATAACTCAGTGCTAGAGAGCGCTGGCCCAAAAGGCACAAAGCCCTGGGTCTGATCCCCAGTACTGCAAAAGGAAACCACATTTGGTTTCCACCACTGATTCAAATACTACTTGTAACACTGGCTTAGTAAGCAGTCATGGAGAATGCTTCCTGTATTATTAGTAAATCTATTATAAGCTTGGAATAGTGGTGTACCCCTTTAATTTCAGCATTCCAGAGGCAGAGGCAGTTGATCTCTTAATTTTGAGGCCAGACTGGTCTATATAGCAAGTTCTAAGCCAGAAAAAGCTACACAGTACAACCTTGTCTCAAAAAAAAAAAAAAAAGAAAAGAAAAAAAAAATTATAAGCTTTAGGTTTAGTCAACATAAAATACCATCTAACTCTTATTTTTATCACCTAGTACATAAACAATCATAAAAACAAAAGGGTCTGGTGAGATACCTCAGTGGATAAAAGCACACGCCTCGCAAGCCTAACCTGAGTTCAATCTCTGGAACCCACAGAAGGTAAGAACTGACTCCAGCAAGTTGTCTGTCCTCCACAGCCTCTGTCGTACCTGCATGCTCGCTCGCTCTCTCTCTCTCTCTCTCTCTCTCTCTCTGTTTTCTCTCTCTCTCACACACACACCATACATACAATGATGATAAAGTAAAATGTATGTAAATAAAATTAACTAAATAGAACAATTTAGATATTCTACTCATTTCCATAAAGTACTAACAGTGGCACTTAAACTTGAGCTAAGAAACATAGTGAGACTTACTTAGCTGTTGCCCCTGATGATGCTAGTGGCAAGAAAAGTATTAGGGTCACTCAAAGTGATGTCACTACAAATAAGCATCAGTGACACTGGTAGTTAACATTATGCTTCATGACCAACAATCAAGAAGTAGTAGGCTCCTGTAAATACTTGTGAGATAAAAAATAATATTTAAACCTAAAGCATATAATCATTTTTAAATGAATTCACCTCCTAAGAAAGTACTCACAATAATTACTGTTCAAATTCCCAGAGATCATGTACTTTCCTCCATGTTATATAACAACCAACCAAGATAAATTATAGGGAGTTATTACAAGCCTTTATATAAGGTGGTTTAGCAAGACATGACCTGCACTGTCCAAAGCCTCAGCTACAGAGGTGTTCCTGCAAAGAACCCTAGATTCACAACACAGGATCAAGAGTGTCAACATCTCATCTGCAGTAAAGTAAACCAACACCAAGTGTGCCATAAGAAACAACTAAAAGCTGCTGGCATTAGTAACCTTCCTTCATTAATCTAAATATTTACATCCCCTCTGTTTTACAATAATCTAACTTTTAGAACAATATAAAATTCTTCTGCCACTTCTTGTATTAAGTGACAAAACATGTACTTTGTTTTTGGAATAATATTTCTTTTCCAAATTTCCATAAAATTATTTTGAAATGTGTTTTTTAGTATCAGTCAGCCATGTTGAAATCAGTCAAGCACAGTAAAGCTCATCAGTGGTACCAGGACTTGGATGCTGAAGCAAGACAATACCAAGTTCAAGGCCATGAGCAGCACCTTATAAGAGCCTCAAAAACAAAGCAAAAAGCCAAGCTATGTAGGTTCTACTAACAAGAATAAAATCACTTCACCTTATTCAGCAAACCATAATCTTTTTGCTTTGCAGATTGCCAAACTGGTAACTTCAGAGCATATTAATAATAATGGTAAATAAATCATTTTTATTGGAATCTGAAGTGCTGAGTGGTGGTATTTTTATTTAAGAATCAGAGATGATTTCTAGAAATGTTAGCTAAAATCACCATGGACTTCAGACACAGAATGCATTCCTGCTCAGGGGTTGGGAACTGAAGAGGAACCAAAAAAGAACAAAGACAACAGAATGCTGAGAGTCTTCTAAGATCACCTCAAGCTTGAGGACTGAATAGAATTCACAACATGCAGGCATCACTGTATTCACAACTAAACTTTGTTATAGTAAAAAGATGAAAACCAAAATTAGCAATAGGAAGAGGCCTATGCAGCAAAATCCAGCAGAAACTAGGCATCAGCTACCAAGGGCTCATCCCTGATGGGGTCCTACAGAATATAGAAGTCCCTTCGACCACAGGTTGTGGCAACACACATGGAGTGTTATCCCCCAGGAAGCTATTAGAGAATCAATGCCAAAGATTTTATAAAATGACCACTACTCTAGGTTTTGCAGGAGAAAGTGAATAGTCAGTATCCAGTGTTTTACAGACTGGGGCACAATGAGCCACTGTTCTCATCATTTATCAGTAGTTTTGCATCAGTATGGGGACCGCTTATGGGTAAGTTCCAAGCACAGGCGAATCTTACAATAAAACTTTCTAAGGACAAGCAGACCAAGGTCAACTATGTCAACAGTTTTCTGCACAAGGAGGGACTAGAAACAGAAGAAAAAAAAACAAAAGTGGCCCTGTCAAGCCAAGTGAAAACAACGTATCATTAAAGAAGAGAGAAAATACTTCATAAAGATGACAAATTTTTTTATAAAATGAAATTTCAGAAACAACCATTAAATACAACTGTGTTTGAATTATTAGTGACCTTGAACTCTATGGGTAAGCAATAAAAGAGGAA